GTGTCTGTGTGTGTGTCTGTGTGTGTGTCTGTGTGTGTGTCTGTGTGTGTCTGTGTGCGCACGCGCGCGTGTGTGTGTATGTATGTGTGCGCGAGTGTGTGTGTGAACTCACCGTGCTGTTGGCGGGCTGATCAACAGGAGAGCCGTTATCATAGACGATGATGGGCTGGCATCGTCTCAGAGGAGCCGAGGATTCACCGCACAGAACACCAGACGCTTCTCCACCTGAGACGACAGAACAACACACACATCAGACCACAGACACCAGTGCATATCACATTACTAATAAATACAATAGAAAGAAACGTAAGGCTGTGCATCCAGTCGGCGTTTGTTCAATGTGTTTGGCTGGCAAATCACTTCCGCTGCTTGCATTTACATTCATTTACAATTCAATCATCATGTCAGAAATATTTTCCATATTGCTGGTCCATGGCAAATGTTCACGACTTTGCTTTTAAGGTCATTTTGTAGAATTAACAATTGTGGTTCAACGATAGGTCACCGCTTGATGTTTGAAGTACAATCTGAGTCATGAAACAACCTGTCTGAAATAACATCACGCTGACATGCTTTCTGGAATCAGATGCTGTGATAAACAAAAGACACATTTGCAACAGGTCTGTTTGATGTGGGAGGAAAACAGCCGCTGGCAACCAGAATGAGCTGCTATTACCACAGACAGCATTTATTACCAGAGACCACACACACACACACACCTCTCAAGGCTTTGAGGAGTGTTTGAGCGACGCGACCCTGAGGTCAGAGTCCTCACCACGTCGAGAAGAACAACAGCAGCCGCTTGCATTTCAACACGCAAAAAACAAAGAGCTTTCGGTTTGATGGACAAAAAAAACAGCATCCTATTGTGAGTCAATGGAGTGATTATAAACGTCAAATGAGCTCAACGGTAACAAACGCTCTCCTTCAGCAGTCTTTGTTCAGGACGTGCTTTTCACTATAACGTTTCAGAGTCATGAAACAAAGCAGATATATGAAACTAAATATGAACATCACACTTAGATTTGGATAAAGGGACAGAAAAATAAAAAAATAAAAACAGATGAAAGTGAAAAAAAAAGAAAAAAAGGAAATAGTAAAGAAAAAAAGAAAAATACAAAAAATATGGGGAAAAATTTAAAAGAAATATAAAAAGAACGAACGAAATAACTTAAAGAAAACAAGATGACAAAACCACACTGTAAAGTCATTTTGAGATTTTGCCATTTCAACTCAATTTTTTTTGTAGACATAGCTAATTTTTTATAAAGTGGCCCTCAACTAACCTGAAATTGGAATGAACCAGTATAACTGTTGTTTCAAATCAAAAACGCATGTTGAAACCACTGCATCACACCGAAATAAAATTAAGATAATAAATTAAGGCAGCAGGGTAACAAAGTTTTTTTTTTTTAAGTTGACTCAACAAATTGTTTACAGTGTAAAAAAGAGGGGGAAAAAACAAAAAAGGAAGAGGAGAAAAAAAAAAAAAGACTGTACAAAACTTTCAGTCAGTGAACTAGTCAACTCATGAAGCACCGTGAATGATGTGAACCAAAAATAACAATACAAAATAAAACAGCTAAATAATACAATTTGCTAAATGTTCAGAAATGTCCAAATGCGCAAGTAATTCAGGACTGCAGGGAGATGGGCTGGCGGCTGAGCCATTTCGCAGTGACTCCTGTTTCCATGGTAACAGTGATTCTGCAGGATTATGGGAAGTGGAGTTTTCGACAGGAAAAAATATTAACAAAGCCGCTTTAAGGCAAGCCTTCAAGGTTAGCAAAAAAAGCATAACGCTGCAACACACTGGCAAGGAGACAAGAGGCTGCTTCTTTAAACGGATGCCAGTGGAGAAGAGGCTTCACTGAATAAACTGCTTATGTGGCTAAAAAGCTTATTTAATGAATTGACAGCCTATCGGCTTATCTTCAACATGTTCTCCAATGAACATTTGCTTTGGATTCATCTATTTTTAGTTTACACAGGAAAAAACAGCTGTTTTATACGAGACGTCATGGACAATTTCATGGTCTATTAAAGGGGTCATATGATGCGATTTCAATTTTTCCTTTCTCTTTGGAGTGTTACAAGCTCTTGGTGCAAGGCACCGAACCCCCAACTGCTCCCCGGGCGCCGCAGCATAAATGGCTGCCCACTGCTCCGGGTGTGTGTTCACGGTGTGTGTGCACTTAGGATGGGTTAAATGCAGAGCACTAATTCCGAGTATGGGTAACCATACTTGGCCACATGTCACTTCACTAAAGTTGCAAAGACTAAAGTCTCAAATCCAAAGAGATATTCTTTATAAAAGTTAAAGAGTCAGCCACACCCTCCTAAAACGGCTCGTTCTAACACGCCCCCACATATCTACGTCACTATGTGGGAAGATTTGCATAACGCCGCCCAAATGTTCACACAAAGAAACAAGGCGTAACTTTTGTCCTCGCTGTAGTATTGTTGTTGCCACCGCCGCCATGTTGAGGAGACGCCGTGTGTTTAGTTGTGAAAGTGAAACTACTTTGGTTGGCCTTCCAAAAAGAGTACGATATCTGCTTCGTCATGCCTGGAGCTGATCCGTGCTGGTCGCTGAGGAAATACATAAATTTCACGCCGTGTATCGCCGGATCGGCTTTCACCGTGGATGAAGCGGAGTGCAGCCCGGGGTCGTCACATGTGGTTGCCGCAAGCATCCTTCGTCGAATCCGCCGGCCGCGCCGTTCTCAAGTCCACCGGCAGCCGCTCACTCTAGTCCGCAGTGTGTGACGCATTTTATGGAGGACTGTTTCCTGAACCTGCAGTTCTGCATAGCCTACAATGGGTCTGTGCTCAAAGGCTGTTTCTATAAAGTGGGGCAGGTCCAACAGTCTGACGCTTCTGACTCACAGCCTGCAAGTACATTTTTTATATTTAAAGAATTTGCCACTGATGATTCAAACGCGAGTTTTGAGCAGTGTAGAGTAGGCTTGTTTTTTGTTGTTTCTCCGATCACAAATGCAGACATGGTTTTATGTTTACGCCGCGCGATACGCAACGCGTAAAAACACAGTACAAGTCATTATAATCAGTAATTATGTCCCCACTGGATGCAACAAATGCCTCGTTTATAATGGGTTTTAATGTTTTTGTCTCATCGCTCCATCACAGTATGGTAGGGGCATAACATTTCCGTCACACGCTTGAGGAATTCGGCCAATCACAACGCACTGGATAGCTGGCCAATCAGAGCACACCTGGCTTTTCAGACCGATGAGCTTTGTAAAAATCGACACGAAAGGCGGGGCATAGAGGAGAAACAATAATGTACAGTATGTGGAAAATAATGTGTTTTTTTAACCTTAAACCGCACAAACATTTCATTACACCAAATACACAAAATAATGTTCTTTTTAGCGACATCATATGACCCCTTTAATAAAACATCAAAAAATGTGCTTATTTTATTACACTTTACAATTTTCGCCTGTAGATTTCAATTATGAAACATCTTTCAAGGCCATGAGTTTGTTTCACCAATTCAGCAGCATTTATATTCACCAAATTTAACGGTTTTATTTCTATGTATATTCTGAAGGTTTTTACTGTGGGGTTTGTTTATATATCATTTATATAACCTTTTATTCCAAAAAACATGATGAAAATGACATTTTTTCTGGTTGTTGGTATTTTTTTCTGAGTTATAGAGTGATAAAAAGAGATATCAAAAATCCCCTCAGTAAAAACCCTTTTCTCTAACATGTCAGCAAAATAAAATAAGACTTTTGAACCTGGCTTTATCCAGTGTTCGGATTAATTCTCTGAAAATGTTTGCAAATTAGTGCATATTTAATTAGAAATTTGCTTATTTAAACATAACATTTCAGTAATACAAATCAATTGTCTCAAATGCACTGTGATTAATCATCTGGGGAAAGTATGATGATATTCATTGGTTACATTTGTACCCTATTCACCCTTAATGTCTTGCATTAATGGAGAAAAATGCAATAGGATTTTAACTTCCAGAACCGACTGTTATGCTCCATTAGCGGACAAAAAAAATAATAAAAAACTAAAACCCCTTACAAAACACAATAGACAATCACAAAGGCATCCTGCCAGACACAACAGCAGCACATTCAATCAGACCAACACTATAAACCCACAGATCCTACACTCATGCATAATGTACATAAAAAGCCCAAGAGTTTTCCCTAAAGTCACTATGCAATATTCATATCCGTCATTTACAATCTCCAAGACCTGAAGACCTGAAGTTCATGGCATCAAATCTTTGAAAGGCATTCAGTTTTTTTGGACACTTAGATCTGCTTATGCATATCTAGTTTGCTTGCTACTGAATTTTCAAGATTTGTTTTCTGAGTTATGGCTGTAAAATAACCAGACGCCCCAAACGCTGCAGCAGGATTCAACATCTCAGACGAGAGCCAGGCAAACGCCTTTAGAGAGAGAATAACCAGATATACGAAGGATACCTGCCCGAGTGAAGCATTAGCGCCGAATCAAAGCTCAGATTATCCCCATACCAGCGTTTATCCATATACGAGCTTGTGCAGGGCTAATGGTGCGATTGCCGGCCGAATTCACAACACAATACGCATTTCTTTTCCAGAAAATAAAGATGCTGTCAAACTCTGCACATCTAAACACAGAGGTGCCTTGCGGTCTACATAGGCAGCTCCCTTCTGAGGCAACATCCTACATAAGTGACGGATTTGGAGCAGCATGTGTGAAGCACATGGGAGACGCGATTTCAGTAGAGTTTGACGAGTTGCTAAACTAACAACATGTTACTTTAAGCATCTAGACACAGCGCTGGCATTGGGGAAATAGTTTTAAATTATTAAATCAAATTCAGGTGTATTTAGAAGTCAACATTTCCCTTCACTGTGTAAAACGGACTCTGCTGCACTGGATGTTTCATCATGATTTCACACACTATAATTTCCTACATCATGAGTCACTTCCTAAATCAGTGGGCAGTCAGGATATTTGTCCAGGAAATGACATCATGCCAAAGGCATGTCGTCTGTGAACACAGCAAGTGTCAGTGAGGGCAGATAACTTTAAGTTAACCCTGAAAAAACTTTCAAAGGCAGGTTCTAAACACCGAACTCCAGCTAAAATCACTGCATGCTACATCGGTTTACACTGTTGCGTATCTGACCAAAAAAACAAAAAGTCACATACTCTCTATGTGCTGATAGACGAGAGAAAGACGCGGAACCTGTTTTAAAGACATCACTGTAAAATTTAGATGTATATTTCTGCTAAAAAAAAGTGTATTTTGCCGTCTCCTCATTCAAAACCATCACATTTTTTTTTTTAATTGATCTAAAGTGACAATACAGAGATATTGAAAAGATTTCATTTTCAAATAAATGCTGTTCTATTCATCAAAGGATCCTGAAAAAAATGTCTGCAACCGTTTTCAACATTGAAACTAATCAGAAATGTTTCTTGAGCAGCAAATCAGCATATTAAAGGATCATGTGACACTGAAGACTGGAGTAATGATGCTGAAAATTCAGCTGCGCTTCACAGGAATAAATTACATTTTAACATATATTGACATGGAAAACAGTTATTTTAAATTGTAATAATATTTCACAATTTTAATGTTTTTCCTGTATTTTTAATCAAATAAATGCAGACTTGGTGAGCAGAATACACACACACACACACACATCTTAGACCCCAAGCTAGTGTATACTTTTATATAGACAAGGCCCTTGATTTCCTCATTTACAGTAAACATTTGTGTAAATCATCATAGTTGTTGAACATATAAGGGTGACATTAACGCCATGCTGGTTTTAAATAATGCAAGCATTAAAATCTAACCAAACCCAGACCTGACCAGAAGCAGAATTTAAACCAGATGTATGTGTGTGTGTGTGTGTGTGTTGTACCTGGTGGGTTGTTCCTCCGGTGGGCGTGAGGGTCGTCAGGTTCAGCAAAGATACTGGAGACCATCTTGTTTTTGCGCACAGGCTTCTCCTCTTCTGTGCCGAAGGAAATATTTGAGGCTCCGCCAGGGGGACACAACACCCTACGAGACACGTGTCAGAAGAATGGCGCTCAAAAAAAATCAATTACACAATATTAAAATAAACAGCACATAGTGCATGAAGGAAAGACAGTAGGACTTTATGATGCATGTACCATGCAATGGTGCAAATATGTCAACAGTAGAGATTTAAATCCTTGATAACAGTAGAAATGACCATTTTACATGGTTTACATGTGAGAACGAGGAAGCAACATGCAAAAATTCAAAGCAGGGCATGTCATAAACAAGTCACGGGTTTAGTCATTTATGAATAATGCAACTTGGTACATTAATATAATATTTAAGTCTTTCTTCTGATAGTGTGTTTCCTTTATTTAACAAAATATCAGAAGTCTATTTTCATGACAAGCTCGGAGTAATAACAAATGAAAACCAGCACAATAAAATTTCAATAAAGACAATTACATACAAAAATGTAATACGTTTCTTAACATTAAAAAATATATATATATAGCAATTGTATAAGGTCTTTCATTCAGATGACAAAATCTTTTCATAAGCCTTTTTAAAAAATGCCCACAAGTAAAGTTTGTGAATAAAATATTTGCCTAATATCATTTAAAGCAGAAAAGGCCAATAAAATATGCTTTATAGTCAATGAAGTAAAAAATCATATTAGTTTTACCTTTCATGTATGGATGACCTTTCATACATAAAACATTTTGCATAATCACCAAAATAGCATCGATTAGACATAGGCTTAATACATCTTAATGTGTGCATTTGACCGATACTTTTATAATGCGACTTCATCAGTTCATGCATATGCTGGGAATCGAACCCATGACCTTTGCATTGCTCTACAGTTTAAGGCAGAAATAGGCATTACCACATGTATAATAAAATATGCAACACTTAGTAAAAATATCTATATTGTGATGTAAATTTCTTATGGTAGTATCAAGTGACTCATACAATGAATGACTTCAGTCATACCAACCACCCCTAAACTGAAAGACACCACACACACACACACACACACACACACACACACACACACACACACACACACACACAGCTGACCAGACCAGAGCTCATCTGCTCACACCAAGTGTAGATTCCAGTGTTGGATGGTTCTCGTTCAGCACATATGTTGATTCATTAAAAAGACACAAGGGCGGGTGTGGACAAACCCCGGGTGAAAAGCAGCAGACCTGTGATTGATGTGGTTGACGGAAGCCCAAATCAATGCTTTTGAAAAGCCCAGTGCTGATCTCAACACCCCTCCCTCCCTCCCTCCCGCGCAGAACGAGACCAGCGGACACCCGCCAGCAGCTGTCAGGGTCGCCTCCATCCCAACGCAACTTTCTGCCCTTTTGTCAAAGGAATCGACGGTGTGGCGATTAGAAAACCAACCAGTGCCGTCTGGATGGACTGGTTAAACAGCTAATGCCTTAACCAGACTAAATCTTGGGATCAGATCAGGGGACTTTATTAGAGAAGGCCATTCGCTCGAGACCCCACCCAACCAACAAAGGAGACACATGGCATTAAAAATCCCTGCTCAAGCCCATGATGCATGCTGAAAACATCACTAAATCAGTCCGAGTGACCAATAAACACGTCTGCTCTCGGCTTGACCTACATTTCTGGCCGTTCTACTGAGGGGAACCCCAGACACACAGGATTTAAAGACTAAAACTGGGGGGAATGACAGGGAAAAGAGCTTCAAAGGTGGTGAGGGTGGCAACATGTTGCAGCAAGACCCAAAACCAGGATGTCTGATATTAGGATTAATATACTAGACAATGCCACAATCCTCATTTAAAAGCAGCAAGATCAAACCTTGTTTCTGTGCATCAGGCGGAAACAAAAGCTAATGCAACATTTTTGACATGCAAATGTCTGAATGCATCTCCATCCCTCCTTTGAAAGTTACAGACGATACCATTTCTGGACACACAAACACACCTAAAAAAAAAATCTGTTAGTTTGGATCACAAAGTCCTTTGGCCAGACGTGCAAACCTTCCACTGGCTGCTGTACGAAATTCAATGCATCTGTTCCAACCCTAGTGTCAGAAACCTTTTAAGGACAATGGAGCGTGTATTTTTGGGCCATAGCTGGAGGTTACACTAAACAGTCAGATGACTGGGATTAAACTGATAAAAAAAATGTATAAGCAGCAGAGAAAGCATCTATTCATGAAACACAATGCAAATAAACTTTAAAGCAAATCACCCAGTTTGAGATGGCACTGGAAGCCTGCCAGCCCCATTGCTTTGTGCTGGGTGAAGTTTGGGCACCATCCACATCAAAACACCAGACATCACATCAAACTGCATGTCAAACCTGCATACAATGAGCCTGGAGTGAATCTCAGATTATAACAAGGGTGGATGGGTCTTCATGGCCAGGAGGAAGAGGATGATGATGATGATGATGGTGATGGTGGTGGTGGTGGTGGTGGTGGTGGCAGACAGTCTGGGTTAATTCAGACCAAATGAAAACATGAAATCAATCCAAATCCATTAAATATTCAGGTTGATAAGCTTCATTTGCGTTCATGTATTGGAGGAGGAGTCCATCAGGCCATCATCATCATCATCACCTCCAGCTCTGAGCTCCTCTTCTTTTGTCTCGCTTCTGATCGCAGTAAACGCCTTTAAAATCATTTACCTGGAGCTTTTTTTGGCACCAGGCTCCATGCCTTGGAAGTTGGTCGTCGTAGTCATGTTGAGCGGGTAATGTGCTCGCTAAACCGCGTTAGAAACCCTTCAGCTGGACTGAATTCGTCTAAATCCTTTATCCCGCATGGACTCCGCCCGGACCAGCTGAAATCCGAGCGCAGCGGAGTGGCCCTTTAGACCAGCCCACGAAGCCCCGCCCACCGGAGCGACGCGCGATCTGATTGGACGGAGGACTGCAGTCCCTGGCGTTTGATTGTAGGATTGGCCATCATTCAGACAATAGCCTTCATAGGTTTATGTGATGTGGTTTACTGCAAAATCAGCCATAGGTTATTGACTAAAACGTGTTATGCGAATAAAATCCTTGCTTTTTTATTCTAATATTTCAAAATACCTTAACGTTCCTTAAAGTTAATTGACCGAAACACATATTATGCCACTTTAGTGAAAATTTGATGATCCATTTACAATGGATTTTAATCATGTAAAATTGCATCTAATGATAATTCACTTCATTTAACCCTTGTGCGACCTTTTGGACATTTTTGTCCTTTTCAGTTTTTTTTTTTTTATCATTTTGCCTGTGTGTTTTGCACTAGGTACAAAAAATTGTTCCTCTCAGGACCTTAAGGACAAAAATGTCCCCATTGAAACCCATTAAAACTGCTATTTTTAATCGCAGTGCCATTTAACTGTAAAATTATGCAATTTTTGTTGATAGGCTTTCATTCTATTGGCAAGGCTTTACATTTTTTACTATTTTTTACCAGATGGTGCCATTTTTTCAGGTTTGACCTATAAAGAAAATACTCGCCTTATTTGTTTTCTGCTTCTGCATATTATAGAGCCAATTGGATAAATAATGCAGCTATAATTGTGTGGGTGTGTTGGTATGGATGTCAGTGTGGTTTGTATGCGTGTCATAAAAAAAAAAAAAATTGTGTGTGTGTGTTCTTGTAATATTTGAGAGGAAAAACTCTACTGCAAATCACAAATCCAACCACTGTGTGCACCAGCAGAGTTTTGCTGGCATCTAATGGGAAAAATTTGGTACTGCGCCCAAACAAAATCTTACTGAAAGCTCATTTTTTGAGATATCAACCTCAAATTTGGAATACAACTTGTTTAGATATATGGCTTTGATTTTCTAGCAGGTATTGAGTTCAACATGTTTCATAAAATATATATTTTATATAAAACATCGTTCATAAATCATTTTCATAAACCTAATCTTTTTTTTGGTTTCACTTTTTAAACTTTTTTTACTTCAGCAATAATCTGCCATGGGTCTTCTTTAAAATGAGACCAAACTTAACTCTGTGCTCCCAAGCTTCAAATTTTTATGACAGTTTTTTTGACATGGACATTTTTGTCCACTATGGACCTAAGTGTAACTTTTTTTAATTGATGCACAAGGGTTAAGAATAATAGCTAAAATTACGCAAATTGAAAAACAATTGTTTAGAATGTATAAACACAATTTAAAGATTGAGTGCAGTGACTAAAACACATCGACAGTTTGATAAAAAGAGAATATTTTATTTTAACAAGCGATTAGACAATACAGACAGATGCTGGACTTCTCTGAAACATGAATTCCCTCGTACGTACTCGAGTCAAAGCATGTTTAACACAAGTTTCGCACTTTACATGACCACTACAAAAAAAAAAAAAAGTTGTAAATCCAATTTGTCTGAATGGAAAACATAAAGTCAATCTGAACTGCAGGTTTGTCTGCGTAAAGTATAACATTTCTTTATCATTTCTTGAAACACAATTTGTAAAAAGCCTGTGTGCTCATATCTGAAGCAGAACAAAACCCTGAACTCAAGCACACGGCTCGTATCCTCAATGATTCTTAAGGGGAAGCATGTATTAGTTGGTCTATACACAGGTGACTGTCTCCATGATTGTTTAGCGATCGCTCGTTAGAAGACTCGGGCTTAACATGTCAGATTTTACAGCGATTAACAATCCCAATGTAATAATTACTGTAGCAGAAACCCTTTATGTACAAAATGAAAGAAACACTATACAACAGCAGTTACAGATAACCACGAGGAGAGCGGTCTGTGAGAGAGACGGGTCGGGGTCGCTTCAGACGTGTCCTCCTGTCTGTTGCTGGAAAACGTCAATTGTGTCTTCATCCTCCATTTCCAACTGCGGAAGAATAACACGAGGTCATTTATTATTCACTATTATTAATAAACACAAGCGATGCGAGGTCAGTAGAGTCACATGAGGAAACTGATACCCATCCGCTGTGATTACAGTGCACTCCTGTCCCATGATGCAGCTGCACAATGATGCTGTCAAGCCAGATTTATTCAGTGGGTGAGATGAGGTCTATTATGTTTGGAAAAAAAACTCGCTTTCTTCCCTAAATGTTCATCTGAGAGCACACATGACACCTGCCCTTTCTAAACGAAACAACAAAAGCGTTAAAAGTCAACATGACATGCTTTTAACTTCCAATCATCACTGAGAAAATAATCAAATTGACTGGATAAATAAAAAGTGGCCTATGATGTGATTGCTTAATTTTCCTAATTTATCGTTCTGATTATTATTTTATACTAATTTCGGATATAATACTCTTTTCGCAAATACACTTTAAAAAAAAATGTATTACCATAAATTAATTAAATTACGATAAATTGTTCTTTTAAAAAAACACTGTTCTTTTACTATTATTTATATACTGCTACAGTTTTTATTCATATTTTGGATTCACTTTTATTTTTATACTTTCAATTTCATTTAAATTTGAGTGATTTTGTTATATTTTAGAAAAAATCTAATTTTATGTGATTTTGACATTATTATTTGTTTTTAACTCAAGTCTGTCATCTGATATTTATATTTTATTGTAGCTTTATTTGAATTAAAAATATATATCTATATAATTTATAATTATTAATAATTATTACCATTTAGGTTTATTTTTTGTTTCAGTTTTCATTTTTTTTCTAAATACACTTTAACATTGTTTTTATTACCATAAATTAAAAATTAAATTACGATAAATTATATACTGTATAATACGCAGTAATACTCTACAAATTCATATACATATATAAATTCATTATACTAAAATAATATAAAAAAATTACATACAAAGCTATGTTGTTTTAAATCAGCTTTACAGAAAATACATTATATATATATATATACAGTGGGTACGGAAAGTATTCAGACCCCCTTAAATTTTTCACTCTTTGTTATA